TCAAATTTCAGCAACTAGATTTCAGTTGAAAATGCACAAGAGAAAGTATGACAAACCAAGTGAGATAGGCACCACATGTTTGTCTACCATCATTGAGGAGCCTTCCGCTTGAAATACTTGAAAAGGGGAGTCTATTCAAGTAATATCAATAAATTTGATTATTTTTTTAAATTACACAGCTTTGAAAATGTAGCTAAAGGTTTAATGGTGTCAGTACTTCAAGTATTAAATAAACTTTTAAAAATATATTTATAAAAATGTTTAAACCAATAATACTACTTATCATAGTATCATAGATGTTTGTTAAAAGAATTTCTCAATTTTTTTGAACAACTTATGGACCTTAGTATCATGTGAAGGAAAAACATTGTACTGTATTATTCTAAGAAATGGCTTTCTTTCAAATCTCTAAACTTATATTTATTAAGGGTTTAACATTGAAATCTCAACTTTTAAGTTGTAAATTCAAGGTTTTTGTATATTATTTAATGTGAAAACAACAATCATTCCATGTTTCTAAACTTATGAAATTTGTATGAAGCCTTTTGTAGCCTAGATCATTAGAAATCAAAATTGAATTTGGATCTATTTGGAATTCCACTGAATGTAAATCCTGTGTACTCAAATCTGTGGGGGAGATAATCGGATAAATTATTATTGTGTATCTCTGAAGGACTGGAGTATTAATAATGCTCTCCCTTATAAACAAAGTAATATTGAAATTATAATTGCATATTATTTTTTTTTAAGAAGAGGGTAAAAAAAAATTAAGCTTGTAAAATTATTAAGTTTGTAAACAAAAACTCTTGGATTTCTTACCCTTGATCTCACATAGTATTTTTTTTATGCAGGGGCTTTTCTAATGGATGCTCATCAAATCTTAGATAAACAAAAATATTATGCTTTTAAAAGTCTAATTACATTTTATCTGTTGGTATTGGTTAGTAGTTCATCCATTAAACTATAAAAGGATCCTCATACCTGATTGTATGAATGTTTACCTCACTCTGAAGTTGAAATGAGCTTGACCAAAGATGTCCAGAGCTTACGTTTATTTTATTATAAAGGCTGATAGCATTCATGTGGTAAAACATCGAGCTTAAAGCTTCCTTACTATTCCTCTATTTTAATCAACTACTACAATATTGCTGCATGGTTAAAATGATAAATGCTGTATAAAGTATCTGGCTCAAACAGGAACTGTGTGTTGTTCGAGTTTGGAGTAACTTACCTTGCCAGTGGCATCCTATAGCTTCAATGTAATTAATACATATATATATATATAAAAATCTATATAATATTTCATCTATTTTGATGGTGCTATGAGTGAGTGAGGAGATCTACTGGACCAGCATATGTATTGATGAAAGTAAACATCTTTCTGTCAGCTGTAAATTACTGTAAAATCTTTTAACAGAAGCATAATAAATTTTATTATCCATTTGGGCTGGCACTTCCCTGGAAGCTAAAATGTAAATGCTATTTACTGAGATGTCTGTTGTCTAGTTAGCCCAGGAAACTGAAAATATAAGTGGATCCTTTGATTCAAGTCATCAGATTTTTTAAATCTTTTTCTTTGCTCAAATGTATGGAGCACCTTAAATGAAGATAAAAGTATTTATTGTGTCATATTGACATTAAGAAACAGACATTACTCAATGTTATATAGTTTGGTATTTTATTTTATTTTTTATTGTAAATAACAATACAGAACATCAAAATAGGTAGGGTTTTGCACTTTATATGTGTATGTATGTAAAATATAGCTTAGGATTTTATACTTGTAACATATTGTAAGTAATAATCAATCATAATTCACAATCACATTCATATTTACATTTATCGTTACCTAACTGTGAAGATATTTAAATATTCACAATGGTATCATAAGTTTCCACTAGCAAAGCAACATGGAATTGCATTAATCAAGCCCAGATATTAATCATGGCTTCATCATTTTGGTATGTTATATTATAATTTCACTTCACTCTACATTTGTTCTAATTATGTCTGTGAATTTGTATTTAAAGTATTACAAATGTAGTGCAATGATGCATCAATGGCAAACTATATGGTGTGTAGGTAGTAATATTGTGTAAATTTTGTATATTTCTTCCAAGGGTGCTTTCAATGTATTTTATTCATTTATTTCATCATGTCATGAATTTTTTAACCAATTTAACAAAAACTTTTCTAACATAAATAAGTGTAAGTGACGAGTCTGTCTGAAAAGTTTAAGATTCAAAAACAATTTCCAAAAATGATAATGAAATATTTATGTCAGCAAGTCTTTACTTTTTGAGGATATGTGCTGTAGTCTCATAAACTGTAAATTCAAAGGACTTTAATGCAAACGTATTTATCATTATTACTCAATGTGGGTATATAGTGGAAACTGATAACCTGAGTGTTAAAATATATGTGAATGACAGTGGCAAGTTACTTATCAGTTCTGTCGTGTGTTAGCATCATTTTAATTTTTTTTTTAAATGCCAGAATATCAATATAGCACTCCTTAACAATGAATATCATTCTCTTAGCACAGGGGTGAGCAAACTTTTTGTGCGGTTGGCCCCATTGACAAATGTAAAGTTATTGGGGGGCCGTATGCACATTATGTACAATTTTTACATGTCTGTGAAACATTTTTTCTTTATTAAAATCTGTAAATTCGCATTTTAACATTACTTGACAGAAGTTAAGGACTGTTTAAAAAAAAAAGAAAATTAGAAAGGAAGTTGTTCAAAAAATTTTAAACAATCATAACGGTAAAATTCAACAAAATAACTTAAAAAAACAAAGTAATTTTTAAAAATTTCTAAATGCCTTCAGGGGCCACATAATATCAGTTGCTGGACCGCATGCCGGCCTCAGACCGTAGTTTGCCCACCCCTGTCTTAGCACATTGAAACCAAAACTGTTTGTCTTTGAATTGAACACAATTTTAAGTTTTTTAAAACAAACTTGTGAACTTTCACATCTTTTGCTGTGGTGAACAATAAACGTATGTAAAGAATATTTCTAGGATCAGGGATTTTAACATTTTTTTAATGTGTTTGTGATCATAGACAGACACCAAACCGGTACAGAGGTACCCTACAATAAATTTGCCACCTGTTTATCATTGCAGGATATCAGATTAAGGGAATAGTACGCAGAAAATATTTTGACCTGAGAAAGCTTTAGTCCCAGCCAAAGGGGGAATAATTCAACTGTAACTACATTTTTAAAAGTAATTTCCCTTCCATTGAAACAACAAAAATCCTTGTTACGGCAGGAGTCAACTGGCATTTCTCAAGGGATGATCTTGTTAGTTTTATACTGTCCCTGAGAGTTACAACTCATTTATATCAACTGTATACAAATTTGTGTTTTGTGGCAGCTGGTGACAACAGACTATTAAATGGACATTGCTTGTCACTTTGTTGGGAGTGTGATGGGCTTGAAACCATGAAGAGAGTCAATGGTCTTGTCTATGTTCTGAGTATGATTTTGTTTTCTTTGTGGCAAATGACAAGCTGGACACAATATGACATGTTCAGGTTGTAGCCTATTTTATGTATACTTGAATTTAACACATTTTCTTTGCCATGTTTTTATATCCAATGTAAAACTTGATCAAGTCCTTGACCTTTGTTTTCTTTTTTTATTAAAAACTTACTAAAATGTGATCAATAAATTATTTATTTTAACCTGCTTACTGTTTTTATTTTTTAATAATATAATTGTTTTTATAGTTGCTGAAACAAATATCCTAACAACAAAAAACTAAAGTTTATTGGAATGAAATTCAAGAGGACACATTTATAGAAACGTGGAGTTGTCTCTCCTTAGTTACAAGCTTAACTCTGCATCAGTGGATCACATTCCCATATTTTATTATTGATATTTTCACACTATCCTATGTAGTGAGTCTTTATCTCTCACTCTTGTCGTAACTTTTAAGTCAATAAGCTCCCCTGTGAAATAAGTCCATCCATGGATATTTATATTACTATTACTCTTGTTCTTTTAAAACAAAATAGAGAGTGAAAATATTTTAATTCCTTTTACCAGCAATATCACAAAGTCTCAGAAGTCTGGATTAGCCACTTTCAACACTCAACAGCATTAAATCAAGTTAATTTCTGCACTTTCAAAGCGTGTTCATTTAAAAAAAAAAAATTAAACCAATAATTACCCATTACATGCTTAGAACATTTTGTTAACACACTACAGTGTTGTTTGTTTTTGTTTTGTTGTTGTTGTTTTTTTGGGGGGGGGGAGCAGAGCCAGATGCGTAGCTAAGGGAAGGCAGATGTCCCGGTGCGTCAGACTAACGGGAGGGGGGAGCTAAGTTAGCGTTGATATTTAATGGTTGAATATACGATATTTATAAATAAACGAATGCTCTAACTCTAACAAGGTTAGCCTTAAATATGCATATCATCAAATATTAAAAGCCTAGCTATATGTTAAATTGTAATAATTGTAATAGCCTAGCTATATGTTATAGATTATCCTAATTGTAAAAGCCTAGCTATATGTTATAGATTACCCTAATTGTAATAGCCTTGCTATGTTATAGATTACCCTAATTGTAAAAGTAAAAGCCTAGCTATATGTTATAGATTACCCTAATTGTAATAGGTTAAAGGCACCAGTTACTATGCTTTTTAAAACTTTAAGTTTAAAAATGACATGTTGTTACTTTTATATTTTAATAAAACATTTTCGTTGCATCTTTGTACACATTTTGCTCCTGGTGGGCACTTGACTTTCCCCGCGTTTGGGGGGGGGGGGGGGGGGCAGTGACCTCCGAGAGTGATGGCTGAAAGAAGCACTGACACTACACCGCTTCAAGCGGACTGAAGTGCACATCTGCAGAGGTTTCCCCAATGCGCTAAACGTGAACAATTTCAACAGTGGTGCACACAAGGAATTTGTTTCGCACTGTGCATCGGAAAAAAATTAGGATACAAAAAAACACTGAAACAAACATCCGGCTCTCTTGCCTTGGAGAAGAACAAGATGCCGCCAAGAAAACAACGCATTATAAATACAAAGAAGAGGAGAAATCTTACTTTATGACATTTCTCTCATAACAGTTTAAAGTTCTGTTCAAACATATTGAACAGAATAATGTTAACCTAAATCTTCCTTATCAATGATAACTTTTGTTAGCAGGCTGGGTGCAATCAACTCATCATAGTCATAGCCAGTCCTACAAACACCGAGGTTAACAGTAGAGTGGGGATACTTCATTGTTAATTTACCCGCCACACAGTATCGAGGGAGCGACATTTTTTTCCAACCCAGCAATGTTTACAGATGTCTGAGTCTTTTTAACGAAATAGTAATATGGACAAACATGCAAGATCAACAACTTATAGAATCTTTGCCAGAAATGGTAGCCGAAGATAAGGTCAAAAGATAAATTGAAATTCTTTTTCAGTAGCAGTATTGTTTGTAACACTAAGTGAAAGTGAGAACACCAAACGTTATCGAAAAGGGTGAAGTCACCCTTTAAGAATTTTATTTAACTGAAGAAGACGTAACAAGAGCGACCAAACATGGAAATTGAACCAAAAGCCAGACTGGCAACTAAAGATCAAATTAAGTTGCCGCCACTCAGCGTATACCAGGTACATGCAAATACTCTTCTTTTTTTATTCTAACGTCCCAGTTAACATTACATGAACAGAGAGATAGAACGGGGGGGGGGGGAGAGACAGACAGCTAGTTAGATAGATCACAAACAGAAGCGCCTCGCCACTCCTGAGTGTTGTGCCCCTTGCAATTTTTTTTTTTTTTAAATTAAATTAAATTTTCCACATCACAACCTTGGGCCCTTAAAATATCTGAGACGTCATGCAGTCACAAGGTTTGCAGGTCCTACTCGACGCCCTGTCCGAGACGTCATGCAGTCACAATTTTAGTCTTAGAGAAAGTATTGCAAGAGATTCTAAGATGTCTCATTCAGCTATGATTTTCAAAACATCAAATACTGACCAGTCCATGACTTTTTGAAATTCAATATCAGCTGCCTTTAGATGTCTTCTAAGCCTTGATATTTCTTTTAAAAGTTCATCTTCTCTAAACTCATCATAGAAAGATGTTAATTTTGGAACGGTCACCAATAACCCTTCTTCACTTGCTGATAATAGACTCTTGGGTTGAACAGCAACAAACATTTCTGCAACTTCCTTGATCGCAGATGATCTGATCTGGGATTCAGCATGAAAGCTATCAATACACTCCAGCGACTTCCTACTGTTTTCTTCTCGCAGAGAAAGTTCAGCATCTATTAATTGTTTTTCTGCCATTCTCCTAAACTTTAATCTTCTCTTTACCGAAATTCCATCTTCATCTAATCTGGGATTCAGCATGAAAGCTATTAATACACTCCAACGTCTTCCCACTGTTTTCTTCTCGCAGAGAAAGTCCAGCATCTATTAATTGTTCTTCTGCCATTCTCTTCTTAAACTTTAATCTTCTCTTTACCGAAATTCCATCTTGGTCTGATTTTAAAAGTGCCTTTTCAATAGCATGTTCCACCCAGTGACAGGGCTCCTCGTGCAGAAACAATCTTAAGGCCTCAAGGTTGGTCACCACTTTGTCAAGAGTAAAGCCTTTAATGTGTAGATACTGCAGTGTAAGATTAACGTCCTCTAGTAGGTCAGCCAAAATGTAAAGGTAGCAGATAAACATGAAATCACATTCAGCCTAGGACTGAGCTCACCGCGCTGTACATAAAATATTAGCAAACATTATCATGACAATAAAAATAACATAAATTTGTTTAATTAAAACAGCTATATAACAAACAAAAAAAAACAAAACAAATGTGTATTCACAGCACCCACCCCAGAACTTTTACATGTCAAGCCATGGACGGCAACCAACAGCATCGTTTATCGGCAATTGGGGGGAATCAGTCGGGATAGTAGAGTTTAAAGAGATGTGTTTTGGGTGCAGTTTTGAAGGCCTGTATGGTCGGCATATTGCGGATGTGTAGTGGGAGAGAATTCCATTGTTTGGGGGCGCAGATAGAGAAAGATCGTTCACCATATGTTTTAGTGAGTGTTCTGAGAACAGAAACAATATGCGTGTCTGTGGAGGAACGAAGGTTTCGAAAAAGTGCATACACAGTAAGAAGTTCAGTAAAATAGGAAGGGCAGGAACCAGAGAAAAAGTTTTGAAGGAGAACAGACAGATTGTAATCAATGCGTGCCTCTATGGGGAGCCAATGAAATGAGTGAAGTAGTGGAGTGACGTGATCATGTTTCTTTGCCTTGAGAACTAACCTAGCAGCTGAGTTTTGAACTTTCTGCAGTTTTTCTACGAAATGTTTGGATGAACATGACAGAAGAGAGTTACAGTGGTCAAGACGAGAGAAAACAAGAGCACAGACTAGAGTTTTTGTTGCGCTGACTGTGAGGTAGTGGCGGATGGAGCTGATCTGACGGATAGCGGTGTATGGAGATCGACAGATGTGAGAAATGTGATTGTTGAGAGACATGTTGTAAAAAAGAATGTAACCAAGATTCCTAGCAGAGGTTGTGAGCTCTATATCGGAGCTACCTACATGCAACGAGATAGGGAGAGCTGGGCTAGAGGATGATTCATGTTTGTGAATGAGGATTGCTTCAGTTTTGTCAATGTTTAGCTTTAACTTGTTGAGAGTCATCCACGACTTGACATCACCAATGCACTCCTGCAAGCTGTATAGCTGCATGCAATCTACGAATGACTGGCTCTCAACAGTATGCCTCCCGATCAAGAGGAGAAGTGGCGTGGTATACATTGTGGTATACTAGGCCCAAAACGGACCCCTGCGGCACTCCGTACACCAAGTCAGCACTGCCGGAGAGACAGCCATCAGCAGCGACCGCCTGCTTTCTATCGGAGTGGTAGGACTGAAACCAAGCCAAAACTAAACTTGAAATTCCAAATTAATTTTCAAGGGTTTTGTAAAGGGTCTGATGTTCAACGGAACGATATCAAAGGCCGCACTGAGTCTAAGAGGATCAGGACGGACTCAGCACCGCTGTCCAATGCAAGCAAGAGTTCACTGCTGACTCTCAAGACTGTGCTGTGAATAGGTCTATAGGCCGACTGATTAGGACTGAGAAGAGAGTGGTCATTCAAGTAAGCGAAAAGCTGATTTAGAACTAGTTTTTCAATGACTTTAGATACAAATAATAAATTAGATACCGGTCTATATTTTTTTCAAATTAATTTGATCAAGACCAGACTTCTTAAGTAATGGTTTGATGACAGCTTTCTTACAAAGAGAGGGAGCAATGCCAGAAGACAAGCTCTCATTGACTATATTGGTTGGGAGCAATTGATCCAACGACTCAACCAACAGTGGAGTGGGAATGGGGTCGAGAGAACATGACGTAGATTTAGATTTTAGAATTCACTTTGACCTCTCTGGCATTTCAGAAACTCCTGCGACGTCGCTTGGGGCCGGGGCAAGTTGTATCATGGGGCCCATCGGCTGCGTGGAGTGTATGAGCCTGCTGCCTTGAGCAACAGTGGATTCCACATAAAATTGTCGTCCAGGCCATTTAAATTATAATATAGGCCTAATATTTATTGAACCAAATAACTGGATGATAAAACTACTGGACTGGCAGAGTGCCCGGGGCCGTTGCGTGACTTTTGGAAGCCCCAGCGGGTTGTTGGTTTTGTACCCATTGCATTCGAGAATGATAGATTTATTTTTTCCTCATCACAACTTTGGGCTCCTCATTAAAAATCCGTGGCCGATGCTTTTCGCTTCTCCTCTTGGAGTAACCCTAGAATACTATTGTTTGTTTTGTTTTTTCTCGTAGGACCCAATGCTGCGGCTTAAAGCAAAAATGTATGAGGCAAAAAACTCAATACTTTTTTAAAAGTTTCTGCTTATTATAGTATAGACGAAAACCACTCAATAAATATTTACAAAATTATACGGTCAAATTCAATGTAAAAAGTAAGGACGTTTTATGATACAATGTCAAGGTTAAATTATGTCCCTTGACCGGTTCGTTTCTAACTTTCTCATGTTATTTTTAGACATTAATATCAATGCCGATTACCATCCTTTACTTTTTGAGAATCAGACCATTAATTTTCAAGTGTTAAAGTTTTTTACTAAAAAAATATATTATAACCTAAATGTTATAATTTAAATGAATAAATATATGGATTAATTTTCATTTAGACATACATTACAGAAGAAATAAAATCGATTATATCTCAAATATTTGGTAGTCGAATATCTGTAGAATTATTGTAGTATCAATCTACACTTCTGTTTGGCTGTAGAGCTGTGTCGGCTTATTGGAACGTTTATTAATTTTTTACAGAAATTACTTGAAAGCATGAATAAACTAAGCATTGACCAAGTAGATCTTAAGGACAAGAGGGTGCTGATAAGGTAAATGATATCGTAATAACATTTTTTCTCTTGCAATTGCTTCTTAATTTCCCTGACCTTTTTAAACTAGTTTCAAGGAATAATGCCCCAATGCCTGGTGATTATTATTATGTCCTTCACCTTCGTCTTCGCGTTCTTCACAACATAATACATAAAGAAGTCGAAATGCCCTTTTAATTAGGTTATTTGTATCCCTATTACTACTATAAACCTTCATACGGTTTTTCATTTGTCATACACACTTGAAAGTTTTGATTACCTGATTCGTAATCCAAATTAAGATTTTTCTCAGTCTCAGCGCTGAAGGTGGTACCGGCACTTAACAAAAGTGTCCAAGACCTGACATGTCCTAAGTAAACTAAGTTACAAAGTTGTTGTTATATTTACATATATACAATATACAATTTCTGGTGGCAATTTCAACTAGTACATGCTCCCTTCTTTCAACTAGGTGCATGCTCCCTTCTATCAACTAAACTTCTAAACTAAACCACATATGTGCCAGTTACAATCTGTGGTAAGAAAAGTGTAATTGTAATTAAACAACCCCTAAAAATAATTTTTTTTGTATAAATCCTTTATGTGCATTTTAAAATTTTTTATATCAACCCTTTCGGGACTGAGCCTTTTCGGGGTGTCTGTGCCAAAAAGACGGAGCACTTTTTACTAGGGACCTCGGTATCGACCGGAAATACCAGAAGAACGGGTATCGTATTTTCGTTGTCATAATGGCGACCTCTACTTTTTAATTTACTGAGGGTATCGTTTCGCGTTTCATAATCGATTTTTAGCATAATAATATAACTTTACTTCCGCCAATTAATTAAAGCCAACATCTTTCCTGTTATATTAAGAGTTCGTTTGATTTTTTTTGGTCAAGATTAAAGCTTTGAAAATGGATGTTAAAAATTGGTCAACTTCACTCAAATATAACTTTTTTTTAAAAATGTGCTCAATAATTAAAAAAACTCTGCTCTTATAATTTATAGGTTCATTTACAACATATCCAAAATTCATGAGTGTAGACCATGGGTGGGCTTCAAAAACGAATTTCCAAGATGTCATTTCTTTAAGCTATGTAATTTGTCATCATGGCCACTGTGCTTGTTGCTTATTTCCAATTATCGATAGCAGCCATGGGGTAATTAATAATTCATTAAGTTGGTTATCCAGAGTGTAAATGGGAAATATAACTAATAAAAATCATTTTATATAAATAAAAAATGTTTTATAACATAAATAATTGTTATTGGCTTATTGAATATTAGTGATTTTAATTTTTGGGTTGGTTGCCATGGACCTGGCTGACACTGACATGGGATTGATAAGCTCTTGTCTTTGACTTAGATAGTGATAGGCTTAATAAAAGTATTGTAATATTAATTATACTATTATAAATGATTTAAGGAGTGGGATAAATAGCTTTTATTACAACTAATATATTTATCATTTATATTAGTTTATATATTTATAGATAAATATTTATTTGTGTGTGTATATATATATATATATATATAATGACCATAGGCTATAGGCCTTGTATACATATAGTATAATACAAAGTATACTATCTCAGGGTTAAGGCCTAGACCCGACCCAACTAATTTGTAGGGCCTATTTTAATAAATTATATTTAATGATATTTTAGGATATGTAATGAAATTTTAATGAATATTGTGATTCTTACTTAAGGCATAAACTAAGTAAAACATTTTAAAATATTCACTTACCTTTGGTATTGAAATATCCTATATTTAATGACATATCACAATATTCCGCAAGAGAATTATTATATAATCCTCAGTTTCTCAAAGAAAAAACACACTTTCTGGCACAACAATCCAAGAATTACTTAATATATTATTATTAAAGAATAATCATAAAAACCTGTACTTACCTCTAGTAAATGTCTAGAACTTATTTTATTAAAAGCTAAAGTGGAAGTTGACTCTAATAATACATGTTGATTTGTAAAACAAGATTACAAACTTAAAATAAATGACATGCTGATTGTTTTGTTATACTCATAGGAATAATATAATATATAATATACATATGTAGAAAATGGTAAAAGGAAAAGTGCAATTGTCAATTTTAAATAAATAAAACAAATAATCCTTTTATTATTTGTTTATGCTTATAAATGCTAAACAATTCCACAGAAAATCTGCAATTAATATCTAAAGAATATTATTATTATGATAATTTTTGGTAAATTAAAAACAAAATTAAAACAAAATTTTAATTAATTAATTACAAATAAGTGATGAGTCAGCATTTTTATACATTTTTTTTAATAGGCAAATAATTTAGTGTTTTTTTTTTAAATATTTGCGGCCCATTAACAAAAACTATATTTTGTGGCTTTATTTAGAAGTACTCTTATTTAACTATGTTCCATGTAAATATTATATTTTTGTCTCATTTTATAATAAAGTTATAGGCGTTAAAAAAAAAAAAGCAAAATGAGGGTCACAAAATGTGGAGGAAAATCCCATAGTAAAAAAGAAAAGTGGTTTTGAGGTCCCTACTAAAAAATTAATAACTTTTGAACCACTTGTTTTTGTAATCTATGCTCCAGGCTACAGCTGTAGTATTTTTATATTTTTAAAAATGTTTTGAAATTTTCATCAAAGTGGCTACTTTTTACTAACTTGGCGCTCGCATTGCAAAAAAAAAAATTATAAAAAAATAAACTAATTACTTTACATACATATAACTATATATATTCTTGAAGGACATTGAATAAGCTAATACAATATTTATAAATCAAACTGAAATCTCAACATTTATGCAAATGAGCTATTATGATTTGCATAATTTATGCATCAAATTTTTTGTTAAACTGAGAATAAACATGACTTACCGGTGTAAATTGTGTGAATTTTTTGATGGATTAAGCATGAATAGATCCTAACACTTTTTTTGGGAAACAATCCCCATGGAGGCCCTTCAGACACCCCTGGCACATAGTTCTCCTTTTCCTGCCCCCGGGGTACTTTTCAGTTGCTAAAGACAGAGCAGTCCTTTTCACCATTGTGCACCCAATTATGGTTTATTTGAGCTGGGTGTTACTGAGAAAGTTGTCTGCATACTTATTAGATATTATTAGTCACTCTCACAAACATTTTAATGATATTTTTTGTAAAAATTAGCATCAAGTACTCAGCTGGGGTGCTTATCCCATTAGGCATATTTTTGGTTCTATTTTTTTCTAAAAATTCATAGGGGTGATCTCTATCCAATTCAGAACCCCTAATCCTAAACCAAGGATTCACAACATTATCGTAAACATAATCATTTTGATTGTCTTCATTACTTTCCTCGTTGTTTTCATCGGTGTCAGTGTCAGATTCACTGATAGACAGTGAGAAATCAGAATCACTAAGCACAATTTGATCAGAGTCACTGTCAGACATGTTGGAATTTCACGATATAACTATAGCCGCAAATAAAAATTCCTGCACACAAATAAATATAGTTCACCATCAACGAACGACGCCATTACAACCCCGAGATGTGCAGGAATACATAAGAATAAATTTGATTCGCTGGTACAACGCCAAGCCAGCCAATCACTAGGTTCGATTTATCGGGCGATGGTTCGGACTTTTGTCTTTCTGGCTAAGCCCCCTTGGCTGCTAGATCTGCCCTTCCGTCCCAAGATGGATAATATTTTAATGAACTTTTATACCACAAATTTATTGCACTAACGATATCAGAAAAAAAATATATTAGGCACCAAACGCACTATCGATATTTTTAAGAATCTAATTCATCGCAGTTATCTGGAATTTTATTTCGTGAAATCAGTGGCATCATATTTCCTTCATCTTCCCCTTGAAAAACAGGAAAAACTTATTTTTGGTTTTGGATGATTGGGCTAAAAATTTGATAGAATGTGTTATCATTGGCAACGAGTCTTATGTGCCATGTTTCAGGTCCATAGGTTGACGGGAAGTGGGTCAATTAGACCTCCAAATATTGTGCTACACACCAAGCCAGAGAGAAACACATGAACAAAAGCAAAGTTAATATAAAGGATTTAAAAATGAAGAAAAATAGTACAAAATAATTTTAAAATAATGAAAACCCAACTTCCAGTTTCATAGAACACACTTTAACACGCTTTATTTCAGGTTCCACCAAAAAGAAAATCCAAACATTTTAAGAAAAAAAAATGCCATCATAATATCCCAATCTACTGATAATTCAACAAAAACACATACGTCTGTCAACTTAAAAAGTTTGGGAAACACTGCCCTAGATGACATTCAATATTTAAAAGTTTTAAACATACTGGAATACTCTCGATGACCAGTGGGCCTAAAGCTTGTTCTACAAGATCCTTTACTCCCCCTTTCCCTGGTCCACATATGAATGAATTACCCCTTATAAGTTGTGGATGCTTTTATGAACAACCCCTAATTTTGTTGTCATGATGGGGTTGAAATGAAATGGTGAATCATTTTACTTGCATATACACATTTTGTGATACATGACTGCAAAAGTTTGGCAGCTTGGCAATAACCAACGATATCCTTTTTTTTTATTACATCAACACTACTTTATCACACTGACGGTCCAACCAGTGCATTTCCACCTCTTGGCACATCTGTTGGGTAGCTCTGCCCTACACTAAGTTAAGAGTATAGATATGCATAATTGCAAATAATTATTAAGGCACAAAGTACTTGATAAGAGCCATCATAGCCAGTACAATTAATATTTATTACTAATAAATAATTATCAACTTGGGCCCAATCCTAATAAATATATTAATTATATCACTAATGTTAATGTGGACAGTATGCCTATTGAATTGCATTTTATAATTATATGAAAATGATATTCTAATCAAAATCAGTTTCCACTCACCTCTGTGCAGGCAAACAATTTCTATTAAAAGGTTAAGGATATAATCATTTAAAGATGAATGCATTGAATTCATATGTCACCAGTGCAATAAGCCAATTGATTGCATTCATTTGCCTGTTATTTGTCATGATCCATGAAAGAGAATATCATCAGAATATTTGGTCCTACATAGCTAATGAAACCTCTGATTGAATAAATATTTTTGCATATTATAAAAGAAACATTTAAAAAAATAATTTCATATTTGAGAATTTTACTATTTATTTTTCAGAGTTGACTTCAACGTGCCCCTCAAAAATGGAAAAATTACCAACAACCAGAGGTATTATTATTTCTTTAAAAAAAAAATCATGTATTGATTTGAAATAAAATTTATATTTTATAAAAAAAACTTAAATGTTTCAAACTAAATATTAATAACTAATCTTTTGACAAATTTTAAAGAGATAGAACAGAGTATGTTTATCATTTTTGTATGTAGAAAAGTTTAATAAAATAAAATGTGTTAAAAATGTCTGAAAATAGCTGTTTTATGTCTTTATAAGCTCAATATTAATTTTCAACACAGAATTGCTGCTGCCTTGCCGACAATCAAGTATGCTTTGGAAAAGGGAGCGAAGGCTGTGATTCTGATGTCTCATCTAGGCAGACCTGATGGGCGCCCAGATCCAAAAGCCAGCATGAAGCCGGTAGTTGCAGAGCTGGAGACATTGTTGGGAAAGTGAGTAACGTATATACTAAGTCATAAGCCAACTTTTTAAAAAAATATTTCAGGGGAACAAGTGGAATGGTTGGGTTATGAGCAATGTTTCCTCTAAGGTTTGTTGGTTCGTGTGCAAAATCATAAAGGTGTGTGCACATTTTTACAGCATCAATTTTTTTGTGTGCAAAATTTTACAGCCTACAGACACAAACACACACTTAAGTGGAAATTGCTGCGCGGCATCTGTGAGATTGCACTGCTTAAAGGGCACATTGGTTATGAGCGGGTCATGTGAGATTTTTTATTTAGCGTACATTGATTCTTTTATAGAAAAAATTTAACAGAAGTCAACATAAAGCTGTGTGCAAAATTGGGTTACAGATTTTGTTCTCATTTTGCAACTGTTGTGATTGGCTGAACTTAGAGAGTATCAAAGTACCTATATTGAATAATGACATTTTATAAGATTGTAGTAGCTGTTGAAATCTATCTTTAAAATGGACAGGGTTTGGTAGATTGTAGTAGCTGTTGAAATCTATCTTTAAAATGTGCAGGGTTTGGTAACAGTATAATGAGATTTGCACTTACTCAAACGTGTTATTTGATATTTATAGCAGAATATATGCCTATGTATAAGACAAGGCAACAACACATTCTTTTCAAAGTTACAATCATCCATTTTCGGAAATGTTCATTGTGGTTACCAAATATACTGGTAGACATACGAAGTGAATATCTTTGATATCCATTATACTATATGTTTATTAGTTAAGTCTTTTGAATTACACAATAGTTACATTTAAAAGCTAGGATTTTAAAACAAATATTTTCTTTTGTAGCATATAGTTTTTACTGGCCTAATTTTATTTTATGGGATCAGATTATGAGCAGGTTACACAATTTTCAAGCTTTCCACAGCCAATACTAAGGGGGTCTGCTAATGAAAAGACAGCCTTTAGAAATACTGCATACAGTATTTCCCTGACACTTTTTGAAGGGTTTCGGTGAAAATTCATAACAATTTTAAAGTTTCTCCCGCCTTTCAGAATGCATTGATTATTTTCTATATAGTTTGTATGGCTGAAATAGGTCTAAATTTAAAAAAAAAATTTAAAAGTTGCTTGGAAAAAAAATTTTTTTTTAATATACTCTCTTTTTTATCTGAAAGGAAAGTCACGTTCCTCGAGGACTGTGTTGGTAATAAAGTTGAAGAATTCTGTGCTAACCCAGCTCCAGGGAGTGTTATCTTGCTGGAAAACTTGAGATTTCATTTAGAGGAAGAAGGAAAAGGTCTGGATGCTGCAGGTAACAAGGTCAGTCAGCAAAATTATTAAGATGTCTTTTATTATCTGACAGGTCTAAGGAATTATGGGTTCTCTTAGTTGTCATTTACAAAACTAACAAATAAATAAGATAATTTTTAAATCACAACTACTAAATACTTTCATTGAGGTAAAGCAATTAAAACTTGAAAGTTTAAATGGAGATTTATTTGTATATTTCAGGCTAAAGCTGACGACGCCTCAATTGCAGCTTTCCGGGCATCACTGACAAAGTTGGGTGATGTCTATGTCAATGATGCATTTGGAACAGCTCACAGGGCTCATAGGTTTGTAGCTTTATAGTACATATGGTTTTATGTCATATTTTAAAATATGAATCATGAACGCCTGCGTATGTGCTGATGATATTAGTCAGCTTCTTTAGAATGCTTTAATAACTAATGCACCAACACTATGGGGATGCTTTAAATTTGGCAAGATATTTTTTCAAAATATCTGCAAAATTATAAATTATTATTTATATTAAAGACATTAAAGTGGTAGCATGTTGTATAACTTTTATGTATCTTTATGTAATTATTTTTCTTTACCCTATTCTCAAAGCTCCATGGTAGGTGTGACATTGCCTATTAGAGCCTCTGGATTCTTAATGAAAAGGGAGTTGGAATACTTTGCTAAGGCCTTGGACAACCCCAGTAGGCCTTTCCTTGCCATCCTTGGGGGGTAAGAGCATAAAATTAATGTAGTTCACACCAGGTTAACTATGTTCAGTGATGGAATATGAATTTTAGCTTCTGCTGCTGAAAAAATGTATTAGTCAAGCAAATATTTAATAAACAAGAATAATGTAGCTATTTCATTATTTATCCCATTTATTTGGAAATGTTTCTTTTCAGAGCCAAAGTCGCAGACAAAATCCAACTGATTGAAAACTTGTTGGAGAAAGTGGATGAGATGATAATTGGTGGTGGTATGGCATTCACCTTCCTCAAAGTAATCAACAACATGGATGTAAGTTCTCCACACAGAGTAGAGCACACGTCGGGGGGGGGGGGCAACAAGAATAGTTATAAGATATTAATTTATATCTGCAAAACTCAACAGGTTAAAAAAGGAATTTATAATTAATCCAACCAAAATGTTACCAAACTGAGTTGTTTGCCTTGCCTGTAGTCAATTGAATCTTTACTGATTGTTTATTTTGTTAAGTCGACGTTTTTGCCGTGGAACCGCCAAATTTTCTCTTTGTCTTAGCATTTTCTCTTCGGTTATGTCGATACTTTTATGTCGACGAACCCTATTATCTCGTTCACAAAAGGGGGCCAAATTTGCCACTTAACCTCGGTTGTCTTGATCCCCCATGACCAATCGCCAGCTTTTGAACTCCGCAACAAGAAATAGCAAACAACAAATAAATAAGTTTTGCATAATTAAAACTAATTATTTCTCAAAATACAGGACTTGCGTTTTAGAATGAACCTATTAGTAATTTTAATAAATATGTTTTAATGTGAGGTTTAAAAACCCGGTAGAGTCCATAATATAAATGATCATAATTTGCAGTGTGCAAAACGTTGTGATGGGCAGCCATTCACGGTTACTTGCAGAATGGCTATGCCATGGTACTAATGTCAGAGTTTCATTCATAACAGTTTGGCGTGTGCAAAAACTATTAAACCATTGGTCAGGGAAAGCTTTAATTAAATAGTCATGTGCCAAAATTGAAAGTTCAAAATAAGTAGTCCCTAAATAATATTGTAGTAATGAGGGGATGCCTTATACTTATATGTAATATAGATTCAGTTCGCATGACGCAATCAGCAAAATGAGGTCACAAAATGTGGAGGCTTGGTCCATACTAGAAAATACCAAACAACTGGCACGTTCAAAATTCGTAGCTCAAAAAGTACTAAAGCTAAAAAGTTGATTCTGGTTTCATTTTTGTATTTGAAATTTGCTCTAACTAATAAATATTTTTTTTTAATAATTTTTTTTTTTAGTGAAGTACCTACATTTAAAAACGCACATCATGTTTGTAAAGAAATTTCAAGCACATGTTGATATATTGCCGCATGTTGGTTTTCGTTTATCTCAATCATTGGTTATTCGACACTTTTTGGCAAACCCCAAGGCCGTCGACATTACCGTGTTCTACTGTACTTAAGTTTTTTAAATAATTTTTTTCTTTTTACTTTTGAGAATTTAAGTGTTTTTGTCAACTGCTTTCTCTTACAGATCGGCAGCTCACTCTATGATGAAGAAGGAGCTGGTATAGTAAGAAAACTTGTTGATAAAGCAAAGGAACGAAATGTACAGCTTCATCTCCCCTCTGATTTTATCACAGGAGATCGATTCGCAGAGGATGCTAAAACAGCTACAGCAACTGTTGCCAGTGGAATTCCAGAGGGCTGGATGGTAAGCCATAAGGAATTTATCAAGAGTTTTAGCCAAAAGTTTATAAATTAACAGCTTCAATAAAATAAATTTCTAAATCATTCTCATGTTTTTAAAGCCATTTTAATAAAGTAAGCAAATTAAATGTAAGAATGAAATCACTTGAGCATACAGCATCATCTTCGGTCTATTTTTTAGGGTCTAGATGTAGGTTACAAGACAAATGAAGAGTTTACCAATGTGATTGAGAGAGCTAAGACCATTGTTTGGAATGGGTAAGTTGAGAAAACAAATTAAATTTTAATTGATGTGTTTGAAACAGCTAGATGCAGTCCTATCTGTCAAAGCGCTGCCAAGCTAAGTATCATTCACAAGACACAGTAATATCTGCAAAGTCTGATAAAAAAGACCCTATGTCACTTGACCTATAAAATTAATTTAAAGAACCTATAACAAAATTATTCTTGTTTTTATTCAAATATTATTAAAATAATTTTTAAGTAATATATTTTTAATGAGGATATTTTGATGTTTTAAAATCTAGACCACCTGGAGTGTTTGAATTTGAAAACTTCTGTACAGGATCAAAGCAAATGATGGATGCTGTTGTAAGAGCTACTCAGAAAGGAGCCACCTCCATTATTGGTGAGCATGACTTCATTTTGTGATGTCTTTAATTTTCTTGTATCCATTCACTTGGACTGTTTCTCATATATGTCATTGTCTGAATAATGAGGTGAAACATAAATTTCATTTGATTCACGGGTTATTAAACCAAGTAATCTTCCAGTTTTTATTAGAGTTAGAGTGCATTTTGATTACAATGAAACTTTTATCTATCGTTTCATGTAAAAAGAACATTGCAGTTTTAATTTAAGACTGTAGGTGGCTCAAATAAATGGATTGTTGCATGTCAATACAGCTTACTTGTTATGGGATTCGCATGTCAGAAAATATCCTGTCAATTATAAGAAACATGCAAAAACAAATTGTTGATCCACATTTTTAAAGCAGTTTCTCTTAACAGTTAAATATTGTAATTCTAGGTGGTGGTGACACAGCAACTTGTGCTAAGAAATTCAACACAGAAGAAAAAGTAAGCCATGTGAGCACGGGAGGAGGTGCCAGTCTTGAACTGTTGGAAGGTCTGTACCTACATTCATACACTGATTGATACTTGTACTTGCAGCAATCAATTAGTCGGTTAAAGAAATGGGAAAATATGATAAATCGGTTATTGCTGTACTGTGTACTAGAGTAAAGCAGGAGGACAAAGGTGTGAATTGGAAAATGCTTTGAAATATAATATGTGGGCCTATTTTCAAAGCTGGAAATAATTTGTTTACCTTGTATTTCTTTTCAGGAAAAGTTATGCCTGGAGTTGAAGCCCTTTGCCCACCACTTTAAAGTCAGTGCAGCGAGGGAATGTAAACTTTCCACCTTGAACTAATGCTGCAAAAATTCTTCTTCGATTCTTTTTTTTTTTTTTTTTTTTCCTTCCCTCCCTTGTTAGAGAAGACAAAATTAGCTGTGTCTTGCGATGAATGCGAGAGGGGTTTCTATTTGTTAGTCTGGAGCTGGTAATCTTGAAATAATTGTATTTTTTATTTTTTTTTTTTTTTTTTTTTTTCCTTCCCTCACTTGTTAGAGAAGACAAAATTAGCTGTGTCTTGCGATGAATGCGAGAGGGGTTTCTATATGTTAGTCTGGAGCTGTGAATCTTGAAATAATTGTAATAGCATAAAATTTAGCTCTTAAATATTTGTTGTGAGTGTTCAACTCTCATCTTAAACGTAAGTCCCTCAGTACGCATGAATATGTACGGTTCTGTTTTCTAACATTTTTAATATATATATGTGTAGTCTTTTTGAATTCACATTTAAACAAATACATGTTAAATTTAGTAAGAGACAAAACTCACTCTTTCCCTTTTTTTTAAAAAAAAAAAGAAAAATTATGTATTGATATTCGACAGCATATTAATTTATTATTTAATATACTTTTTAAATTTTTAAAAAAACTATATCAAAAAATGTCCTTTTAATAACATTTTGAATTGATCTAAAGCTTACTGTTACGAACAGTCATGAATAATTTGTGATAAACACTTGAAAACTGATGATTTTCATTTTGGTTAACATCCCAGATTGTATTGTCAGTTGAAAATGTCATCATTCTCTTATTGATCAGTGTAAGAGTTCAACTTTGAATTAAATACCTGTATCAACCTTACATGTATTAAAAACATTTGGCCAATAAACTGCTATTTCAAAGCCTTGAAACGATTTACACTGTTGCCACTTATTATGTTATTTTATTTTATTTTTTTAAAGACAACTAATTTGTCAATGAAATGAATCGGTTTGCAAAGGCATTTTTCAACCCAGCTCAATTTGAGCCATAATTCTACTGTACAAAATTTTGAACAGCTTTCAATAATTGATAGTTGGTAAATAAAAGAAATAAAAATGAGACATGTTCACCTAATAATAGTGCAATGGGAAAAATACACAATTTATCTAACGCTGTTTTCTCTACTACCTTTTTCCCCCTCCAAAATTAAAGAAGCTTTATTAGTCAAATGACAAAAAATATTTCCATTGTGTGATTTTGAAATGAGGCTTGGGGTGAAATTTTTACATACAATACATTATTGACCTTGTAGGTTAGTGTTATGATCTATATTGCAGTGGTGCAAAAAATTTATTTAGGACTTTGCCGCAAAAGCATCAAGAGTTCCACACAAAAAATCTAAAAAATGTTTTAAATAAGTTAGTGTCATATCTTCTTCAGGATTCTGGGATGTGAGAGATTTAACACCTTCATCTTTTTTTTTTCCTTTTCCTATAAGTAAGGGCCCACGATCATTTTATTTATCATTCTGGCTCCTGGTTTGAATTCAAAGTTCGTGTCCATCTATTCATGCTCATGTAAATAAAAAAAATAATTTAAAGCTTATGCTTACATAAAAAACATAGAGGAGTAAGTTGGGTGCTGCCCTAAAATTACCTTTTCAACATAGAGGATTAAGTAAGTTGGGTGCTGCCTTGTAATTAACTTTTCAACAAAGCGGAGTAAGTAAATTGGTTGTTGCCTTGTAATTAACTTTTCAACAAAGATGAGTAGTTGGGTGCTGCTCTGCAATCACTTTTTCAATAAAGAGGATCAAGTTGGGTGCTGCCATGTAATTACCTTTTCAACAAAGAGGAGTAAGTTGGGTACTGCCATGTAATTACCATTTCAACAAAGAGGATTAAGTAAGTTGGGTACTGCCATGTAATTACCATTTCAACAAAGAGGATGAAGTAAATTGGGTGCCGCTTTCTAATTACCTTTTTGGTTATCAAACAAAAGCCCAATTTTAAAAACTGAATCACTTTTTAAAAAGGAAAACTTTGTATTTATCATATGGGTTTCAATTTAATTTGTTTGTCATCATAGTAACATTTATGGTTACATGAAATGGTTTCCTGTACCAAAATAAAAAATAGTGGTGGTGTTGAAGTTTAGGTTCCACTAAAGCATGGGTGTCAAACTCAATTGATCGACAGGCCAAAATTCAAATCACATGTAAGGTTGTGGGCCAACAGGATAAACATTGCGTAAGCTGAAAATTAATATTTAAAAAAAAAAAACAACATTTATATTGATGAAAACAGGAAAAAGTTTTAATAATTAAAAATCATTTGCATTCCCATTTTCGTTTTTCTGCCAATTTGTCAGAGTTTGATGTTTATCACATTTTCTTGGCTACAAAAACAAGTAAGTTCGTTTATGTTGGGAGTTACGTTCTGTGTCATTGAGATTCTCATGATGGACTGCAAGTGTTCATCACTGAGAAGAATCTGGTGCGATGTTTTGTTAATCTTCATCACAGAAAACAGCTGCTCACACATATATGTGCTACCCAAAATGCTCTAGGTTCGAGCCGCATGTAGACGAAGCTGGCGCGTCTCTTCAGGAATGAAACGAGTGAACTGTGCATACCCAACTGTGTCGTACTTTGCCTTTAGTGTCCCATTACACTGCGGCTCTATTAGCTCCATCTTTTAGTCCCATTACACTGCGTCTCTATTAGCTCCATCTACAAATTTGCAGGTGCAGTTTCCACATCTATGACAAATGGGTTACGAAACAGCTCGAAATTACTTTTCTGTGCTTCAAAGTCACTAAAGCGCCGTGCGAATTCGACGCGAAGTAAGCAACTTTTTCAGCAAAGTGTGCACTGGGAAACACCATAGCGTTGACTTGGATATAATTGTACGCCGGTTAAGACGTCGCGGGCCTGATACAATTGTATGGCGGGCCGGATGTGCTCCGCGGGCCTTGAGTTTGACACATGTGCACTAAAGGGATGCACAAGGTTCAATGATGAAATATTTTTTTTTGGAACTGCTGCTTTGTTTAACCATAATTGTATTTAATCGGTGAGTTTAAAAGAATTTGATAGGCCAGATGTGAAGCGTCATCAAATACACTGTTTTCTGAGAGAAGAAAAAACAACAAATATCTTTAAAAACTTGGATACGAGGAGGGCCTGTAGCGATTTTGGTGCCTCGGGACGTTCTAAAGTTTGGCGTCCCTACTTAATATAATTTTTCAGGCTGATATTAACTGTTATACAATGCGAATGCAACAAAAAAATAAAAAAATAAAAAAAACCCGATAATTGATCAGAGAATTCGAGAAATTTTGAACCACAAAAACACGCATTGTGTACAATTGTTGATAAATAGCAACGAAATCTTTAGAGTGATCTCAATCATGTTTTTTAGTTTTACTTCTTGGTTGTTAAAGATCAAACATATTTTGAAATAGAGCACGTCCATCATTAGAGCATTTTAAACCTACTAGAATTCACGCAGCGTGCCTAAAGCAAGATCTCTTTTGAAGATGTGAACTTTCTGACGCCAGAAAACTCTTTGACAGTCAAATTTGTCCAGGGCCCTCCCTCCCCCTTCTTTTATTTTTACACCCCCCCCCCTCCTTTTGCTGATGTCCTTTATGAACTTCCCACCCCTCCGTATTTCAGCTTGCAGTTGCTTGATTTACTAAATAAGTATCATAACTAGAACACTATTCTCCAAGCAAACATTTCAGGCTTTTGTGGGAGCAGACACGATCATGACGTCGCCCTGATGTAGTCGACAGGCAACACCATTTTCCATAGACAGCATAGCCAAAGATGTGAGATTTCCATAGTCACACATGCGCCATTAAGTTATAGCTTTTTTGTACATTAAATTTACTTTATTAAAAGTTTTCCTTGTCTTCAAAGGTGCAAACCTGTCAATATTTTGCTCAAAATCAATATTTTCACTATATCACTTTCGATTCATACTAGAGCCAGATCAGAAGGCCTTGACTGTCCCATAAATAGTTCTGGCTAAGCCTTAGTTTTGAAAAGCTCCGCTTCAGATCGTAAGAAAAAATTGAAGGCTTACCGCGAGTATTGGAAGAAATTCTAGGGAGTCCCATTCAGCTATGAATGTCAAAACATCAAATACTGACAAGTCCATGACTTTGTAAATTCAATATCTGCTGCCTTTAGGTGTCTTCTAAACCTTAGTATTTATTTTAAAAGTTCATTTTCTAATAAGTCATCAAAGAAAGAGGTTAATTTTGGAACGGGCACCAACAATTCTTCTTCAGTCAGTTGCTGATAGTAGACTTTTAGTGCAGGGGTCTCAAACTCATATCATCCGGGGGCCGCAGGAGGTAGAGTCTGAGTGATAGTGGGCCGAATCAAGTATTCCACACACACACACACACACACACAAACGGTTATAATTCAATAAAGTACAACTGTTACAATCTGCTCAACCTTTGTTAATAACAAATAAAAACATAAGCGTTATCAAGAACTAGGCTTCGCTTTCTTTCTCCTACTCATTGTTTCCAGAGCTTCTTCTTACACAGCTGAGCAATATTTGGCATGAGTGAGGAAGCAACCGAGACCCTCAGTATAGCTTAAAGATGCTCATCAGTAAGTTAGGTCCTGAACTTTGACTTTTTAAAGCTCATAGCGGAAAAGAGCTTTTCATACAGATAGGTACTCCCAGAGAGGAACATTATCCACTTAAACATATTGGAAATCTCAAGAAAGGCCGATGGCTATGCTGTAATAAATTGTCCATGCTTGTCTGTTTTTCATTAATCTCCATTAACTTAGACTTTATTTCAGAATTGCACCAAAGATCAATCATCTCCATTTGAAGCGCAAAAGTGGTGGTTGGGGGGGGGGGCATATCTTCAAGATTGAAGGAGAAAGGGTCACCAAAATTTGTAAAGTGTTTCTGTGTGTTTTGAAGAGTGCAAACATTTGGTCAAAGTCTTCTTGAAGCTTTGCAATGGCATCAGTATACTTACTACTGAATGATGTGCCTGAGTCCATGAGTACTTTGCATGTTGGAAAATGGCAGAGTTTTCTCTGAGAACCATAACACAGGTTTTGTGCAGAATGCCCTGACATCGTCATAGGCAACACTGACAAGCTACCCCTGGTCTTGTAACTTCTTATTGAGTACATTCAGCTCCTGTGTAATATCAACAAGAAAAGCCAAGTCCTGAGCCATTTGGAATCACTTAGTACAGGAACAACCACCCCATCCTTCTCCATGAAGGCTTTGAAGGCAAAAACAAGTTCAAACAATAGGCAGGAGCAGGCAATATTGATGAATTATTGATGCGAAGGAACATGCTATTGTAGGGAGAATAAATTTAGATTTTTTTTAATCGAGGAAAAGGCCTTTTTGACTAATCCTGAGGTGATGTATCAGCCAGCTCCCAGTAAGCCCTACGTTGAACCCAAAATCATCATCAGTGGACAGCGTCTCAACCGGTGGATAAATTTACTTACTTGGGTAGCACCCTCTCTAGATCATGGATGATGAAATGAATGGCAGACTCGCAAAAGCTAGTGCCCTATTTGGCAGGCTCCGCAGCACTGTTTGGGACAGGATAGGTATCAGACGAGAAACAAAGCTCAAGGTCTATAGCGCAGCAGTCCTCCCGACACTGCTCTATGGATGTGAAACGTGGACAGTCTACCAGCGTCACGCCAAGAAACTGAATCATTTTCACACTACCTGCCTCAGGAAACTCCTCGACATCAGATGGCAAGACAAAGTCCCCGACACCGAGGCCCTCGCTAGAGCGAACCTAGCTAGTATCTTCACCACTCTGATGCAGTCTCGGCTCCGTTGGATGGGACACGTAGCCCGTATGGCAGACCACCGGCTCCTGAAACAATTATTCTTCGGAGAACTCACTATAGGCAAGCGCTCCCAAGGAGGCCAAAATAAGCGTTACAAAGACTCACTGAAAGTGGCACTAAAGGCTTTCAGCATAAACCCTACTCAATAGGTGCTGACAAGCCCAGGACAGAGCCAGGTGGAGAGCTGCTGTCAAGAAGGGGGCTAAATCCCATGCAGCTAATAGAATAACCACATCTGAGACACGCAGGCTTGTCTGAAAGAGCAACATTAGGTCACCGTCAGAGGCAACTATTCCATGCCCACGGTCTCATAGATTATTCCGAGCAAGGATCGGTCTAGCAAGCCACCTACGAGCTCACCATAATCCCCCCCCCCCCCCCCCCCCCCAACCGGGAGATTCNTAACCGGATGATTCTATGGTCCTAGTCGACTTCGACAGACGAACAACCAATTTACTTTCTAGCAACAAGGGGGGGGGGGGGAATTAAATAAAAGTAATGTGTAAATAAAATTCACCAGGCATAACAACTAGCAATGAAAGCAAATACAATTTTCTGGGTCTAGCGCAACACAGCGAGCGCCTTCAACACTGATTAAGAACCACTTTCTAGTGAAATGTTTCTTTCTGACACAGGTGCAGTAATTCGATATCCATGGGAGGTGATTTTTTTAAAGGTTTGTAAAGGACAGTAGTGGACAGAGGGATTTTTTAATGAGAGGGTTGCAGAAGTATGTGTCGCTATATTTGATGGGAGGGTTGCAGAAGTATGTGACGCTATATTTGATGGGAGGGTTGCAGAAGTATGTGACGCTATATTTGATGGGAGGGTTGCAGAAGTATGTGACGCTATATTTGATGGGAGGGGCTAACATTTTGTGACGATTTGTAACGATGGGGGGGGGGGGGGTCGAAAATCGGCAAAATTTGCGTAACGTTTCTTTTGATTACTCCTTTTTACCTATGACAACCGGAAGTTAAGCATAATAATTTAGTTAAAACATGATTAATGTTAAGGCAAGTCAACCAAAACATATTTGTTCTTTTATCATTTGCATTCTTGGAAAATTTTTTTTTTTTTTTATATATTTAACTAAAAAATCATATTGGAGACAACATGGTTGATTTGATTTAATAATTTCATTACTGAGCATTTTAAGATTGACTTTAAAAATGTCGAGGGCAGTCATATCATGAAGTCTACCAACTAGCAGATCCATCGCGATGGCCCCGCAAGCTGAAAATTTGTCTCACTCAGGCCGAATATTTTGAAGAGCTTTATAATCTCCACGTAAACTTCTTCATGAATAAACTCATTTAGGGAATTTGATAGGAAACATGTTCTGATATAAATAATATGTATCAAAACCATCTAAGATAAACAGTATTAAACAGCATACATTAATTTCTACCAAACTGAGATAGGAACCGGGAAAAAATTCCAAACCGGCCCGGAACA